ATTTGGTGGACCCAACAGAGGAAGCAAACAAGAGGAGGAAGAGGATACAACTTCAGAAGCCCAGGATATGACTGAAGAACATGGCTAAGATTTTTTTCAGGAACCAACAAAGCATTTGGTATTGTAACACATGTACCCAAATTATTGGCAACGTTTGCAAATTAGGTCTGTAGCGAATGATGTTGCTCCTTATAATGGTATCTACCCAGAGATGTTATTCCTACCCGGAGGAACATCTACCCAGAGATGTTGCTCCTTATCGTGATATCTACCCAGAAAAGCAGGAATATAAATGAAAATTTTAAGGCCATCACATCACCTGTAGCCAAACTAACACCTCAAGCCACTTCCACTTGTCTCATCTGTGTTGCTACATCAAGTGGAATAGAAACTCCAAAACATTAGAAGCCGAGTGAAAGGCCTGCCATCTTCACCGGACGTAGTATTTGCCCCGTCACACACAACACTGCACATCCAAATCTTTCTGCACTTCATGATGTGCTTAATGTGTTGCAAAGTGGAGGGAACATTACATATTCATGTTGAAATAAATTTTTGGTTTTGTAAAGAGTGGAAAAATAATTTTTTAGGGTTTACTTATGACCCAATCCTTTTATTTGCATAAACTTTTAAGTTTAATTTGTGCAGTGTTTAATTTGCACTCTAAGAATCTAACCCCCCCCTACACACACACAATTCGAGGCTTGTCTATATAAGTTGCAAAATAACACAGGTCTTCTAAAGAGTAAACCTGAACATTCATTGGATCATAATTTGATGTCAAATGAACCAGCATTGAACTATAATTCGGTTTCAAAAAACTTGAAAAATATATATAAAAAAGTGTTACATTTATTTTGTATCAAACTATTCCCAAAAAGAGTGGTCAAGTGTTTGCAATAATAAAAACATATTACTGTATTTGGTATAAAAAAGAAAACAACAACATACTGGATGCTATGGAATACCAGATGCATCAAAAGAAGCCTGGTATAAATCTGCTCACATGGCAGTACAGTGCACAGTCAAGAATAATAATACCTAGTGTTACCTGGGGTAACAGAACATATATCCATTCTATAATATGGCGACCAAAACTGAACTGCATAATCTAAATGGGGCCTAACTAGAGCAAGATATAGCTTGAGAACCACACCAGGTGTCTTGTTACTAACGCTGCGATTAATAAATCCAAGTGTCCGATTTGCCTTATTACGAACATTTATGCATTGATCCTTTTGTTTTAAATTCTTACTAATCATAACTCCCAGATCCCTTTCGCAATCCGACTTCGTAATCACAACACCATCTAGCTCGTATCTTGTAACTCTATCATCATTACCTAACCTCAGAACTTTACATTTATCAGCATTAAACTGCATCTGCCAATCCTTTGACCATTTCAAAACCCTATCTAGATCAACTTGAAGTGATAGTGAGTCCTCCTCCGAATTAATTTCCCTACCGATTTTCGTATCATCGGCAAATTTGCAAATGTTGCTACTCAAACCTGAATCTAAATCATTTATATATATTATAAACAACAGAGGTCCCAGGACAGAGCCTTGAGGCACTCCACTTACAACATTTTCCCACTCTGACTTGATTCCATTTATACTAACTCTCTGTTTCCTTTGGTATAGCCATGCCCTAATCCAGCTTAATATAGCACCCCCAATACCATGAGACTCTATTTTTTTTTAATCAGTCTTTCATGTGGCACTGTATCAAAAGCTTTGCTAAAGTCAAGGTATACAACATCGCAATCCTTACCACTATCAACTGCCTCAACAATGCTAGAATAAAAAGATAACAAATTTGTTAAACATGAACGGCCATTTATAAAACCATGTTGCGACTCAATTATTAATTTATGTTTTTCAAGATGAAGACGAATTTTATTTGCTATTATAGATTCGAGTAACTTTCCCACAATAGACGTTAGGCTAATTGGTCGATAGTTAGACGCAAGTGATCTATCTCCTTTCTTAAAAACTGGTATCACATTAGCAACTTTCCAAAACTCTGGCACTCTGCCTGACTCTATTGATTTATTAAATATGGTTGACAGTGGGTCACAAAGCTCCTCTTTGCATTCTTTAAGCACCCTAGCAAACACTTCATCCGGCCCTGGGGATTTGTTTGGTTTGAGTTTTACTATTTGTTTAAGAACATCCTCCCTGGTAACTGCTAAACTCGTCATCCTGTCCTCGTCCCCACCCACATAGACTTGTTCGGCTGAAGGCATATTGTTAAGTTCCTCTTTAGTAAATACAGATACAAAATATTTATTAAAAATACTACTCATCTCTTCATCACTATCTGTTATTTGACCTGTCTCAGTTTTTAATGGACCTATCCTTTCCCTAGTCTTAGTACGATATAACTGAAAAAACCCTTTTGGATTTGTCTTTGCTTGCCCTGCTATGCGAACTTCATAGTTTCTTTTTGCTTTCCTTATCTCTTTTTTAACAATTCTAACCAGATGTACGAATTCCTGTTCTAAAGTGACCTCCCCATTTTTAATCCTTTTGTACCAAGCTCTCTTTTTACCTATAAGGTTCTTCAAATTCTTTGTTATCCACTTTGGGTCATTAGTATACGATCTATTCAATTTGTATGGTATACTACGTTCCTGTGCTTTGTTTAGAATATTCTTAAATAAGTTATATATTGAATCCACATCGAAATCCCCATTTAAGTCACCTATCGCTGGGTTCATGTCTCGCTCCAAGACCGGCCCACACCCCATACCCAAGCCTTTCCAATCAATTTGACCCAAAAATTTCTTAGGCTATTAAAATCAGCTTTTCGAAAATCTGGCACTTTAACAGAATTTTCTCCTACTGGTCTATTCCATTCTATGCTAAATCTGATTTCTTTGTGATCACTGCTCCCTAGCTCACTCCCTATTTCGATGTCATTAATTTGCGTTTCCCTGTTAGTTAACACTAAATCTAAAATATTATTTTCCCGTGTTGGTTCCTTAATGTGTTGCGTAAGAAAGCAATCGTCAATTAATTCTAGAAAATCTTCTGCTTCACTATTCCCTGTTTTGTTCAACCAGTTTATTCCGCTAAAATTAAAGTCACCCATGACATAAATACTGTTAGATCTAGATGCTCTAGATATTTCATCCCATAGATGCTTTGCTTCCATTCTGTCTAAATTTGGTGGCCTATATATTACTCCTATTATAATATTATTAGCTTTTTCGTTTAATTCAATCCAAATAGTTTCTGTGTGTGGCTCTGTTTTGATTCCCTCTTTGAGACTACATTTCAAATTGTCCCTAACATATATGGCTACTCCACCTCCTCGTCTAATATATCTATCTGTGTGAAATAGTTTAAATCCATATATTTGATATTCAGCTAATAGTTCTCTATTTTCTACATTCATCCACGTTTCGGTAAGTGCAATAATATCTATTTTTTCTGTGCAGACAAGAGCATTTAATTCGTTAATTTTATTTCTTAGACTTCTACTGTTAGTGTAATATACCCTAAGTGAATTGTTATTTTGCGGACCTTCTCTTTCCCTGATCGTTTTGCCAATTCCTTTCTCCCACAAACACATACTTTTATTACCTCCTTCCTCCAAATCAATTCCCATACCTCTATCTACTAACAGTTTAAACCCAAACAAACACCTCTAACCACTTCTTCTAGCGAGTTCGCAACAGCAACAACCCCAGCTCTCGATAGATGCACCCCATCACGAGCATACATTTCATTTCTTCCATAGAAGTGTTCCCAGTTGTCTATGAAAGATATTGCATTTGATTTGCAATATCTTTCCAGCCGGCAATTGACACCAAGTGCCCTAGATATCCATTCATTTCCCACTCCCTTTCTTGGAAGAATGCCACATATGATCGGGATTCCTCCCTTGCTCCTAACTAACTCTATGGCTGTTTTATACCTCTGAATCAGTTCCTCACTCCTGACTCGACCAACATCATTTCCTCCCACGCTAATGCAAATAATGGGATTGTTCCCATTACCAGCCATAATATCATTCATGTTGTTTATAATATCACCAATGCCAGCTCCGGGATAGCTGAATACCCACATTAATGTAATGTGTCAACAGAATGTACCCAAATTATGCTTGCCCCACCCAAATGGCCAAGTCCCAAGTAACCACAGAACTAGTGAAAAACTCGAGAGGAAAATATCAACTGCTGCTCAAACAATATCAACTGTTTAAAAATATCAAACACTAAACAAACCAGATCAGAGAAGGAAACTCTGGAAATCATGTATGTTACAGAGTCCAGAGACATGCCATGATTGCGTTTACATAGGCACGAGAAACATCCACTAATAGGAAGAGATTATTGCACAATGAAACACGAATTTCTAAGGACAGAACACAAGTCACTTTTCAGCTAAATATTTTATCTCTGCCAGCCTGAAGTGCATTCTGAAACAGTTAAGATTGTGAGTTGAACAGAATCAGGGTGCCCTGTAGCATATAGGTGCTGCCACCTAGTGCCAAGCAATAATTGTGTCTGGATGAGCATTGAATTGACTGAAGTTGAAAAAAACCTTAGGGTCACTCCAGGCAGGACTGACTATATTCTGGTACTTCTCTTGCACCAGTGTGACCTGAAAAGGATATTTGAAAAGAATTGTGTTGCTCAAATGAGAAATGTCAACCTGCCCTGACTGTGCATTGACCTGGCCATGGAAAAAGCAGGACCTTGACAAATGGTACAGCTCAGAAATACACAGACATACTGAGACTGGGTCTAGCTTTTGTTACAGTCTTCATATATAATCCCAACTAATTTTGTCTATTTTCTCATGATTTACAACCATGACATGTCTAAGCATTGTACTGGTGGCAGAATATGCCATAATTCATTACAAAATATTCTAAACAATCAAATAATGACAGCAGATAGGCTTCTATTCCCAGACTATTAAACTAGATATGTAAAGGTAGATAGTTTATGCAATATATAAAACACAAGTTTTAAAAATCATACTTACTGACTTCTTTTTGTTTTCTTTCTTCTTATCTCGTCGTGACCGAGCTACTTCAAATTCATGGCACTCTTCCACATGTCTAATACCATTTCGCCGATATCTGTAAAGTAACACATGCACTGGAGGTGATGATCATTTTGACACTTGTCTACACAAATTGGTACAATAACATATAATTTCCTCACAGTTGAAAATCCTAAATGTCTGAACTGGAGTGCACCAAATCTGTATTTGAATTACCTCCACAATAACAAACACATTTCTTATCTTTGTAATAGGGACTTATAATATACTGATTACTGATCTGCAGTAATGGCATAAAAGTTAATATTATTATTGAAAGATTCAGTTTTGAATCCATAATGATTACTGACCTCACCTAGCTATTCAATTGTGCAGTTTTATTTCTTGATGGAGACAACATTAGATTTGAAGTTGGTTCGAGCTGCTTTCCATACAACAGTATAGGTAAACCACATCACCTTGTTATGAAAGGCCAGCTGATTAAAAAATATTAAATCAAATAAGGTTTATATACCTTACTTTCCTACTCAGTCTGCAGTAGCACAGCGAGACCCATGAATTGGTTGGTTCATATATACTGTATTGTTCCAGCTCCTGGACTGGAGAGCTTTGTCCAATGGCTGTTGCTTAGAGTGGCCCGCAGGCCCACATATCCACTACAGCCCTGTTGGTTTGTAAGCTAGTTGCTCTCCCCCCTCTCCATACACACAGCTGATTGACATACATGTGGAATCTCTAGGACTGATCTTCAGGATTACCCTGGTTGCCAGTATGTAATGGCACAGCCCCTGCACTAGCAGTTTCTGACTCTGCACTGTTCTTCATCCATGTCAGTTTTTCATAATCTACTCTGATCTGATTTTTCTTGGTGCATTGTCTTCTGCCTAACACTTGTGTGTCTTCAAGAGCAGTTCTGGAAAAGCCAAAAACTACTATTTCTTAAGCCCAGACATGCATTCTTCCATCTCCATCATTCTCAATCTCCCTTGAAACTCGCCTGGTCTTTGCATATTATGTTGTTTTTTACGACTTTTCTCAAGTAGACTTTGAAGATTGTTGGTGTTGGTAGCTCACATCTTGGATGGTGGGCTTCCTGCCCTGCTGTGTCGTCCTGGATTTGTTAGCTATGTTTGGGATGATGCTTTTGCTCATCTCCACTCTTATTCCTACTTCCTGGTGAAGAATGTCTTTCTGGAGGGGCCCTACTCTTAAGGCAAGCCACATCTGTTGAGCCTCATCAATCAAGCAGGTATTTGTGTGGGCAACTGCCCATGTCCTACCCGGTGGTTGCTCTTCCTTGAACAATAGACCATGTGCCATTCAAACTCTCCTATGTCAAAGGCAACTTCATTCCTCCCCTTCACTACTGTATTTATATTTTCCAAGCCTTCCCTGTTTCAGGTTATATACAGATTGGTCAAACTTAGTCAATAGTTTTCCTATACAAGTTTTCCACCCTTGAGCCTATTTCCATACTATGACATACTCAGATATTTGAGCTCAACTCACTACTAATTGAATTCCTCAGATTAGGCAAAATTGTAATTAATTTTTGTCAGTAAAGATATTAATAATAAATATTATTTATGTTAATAAAATAATAAATAATAAAAAAATGCAGTTTTTTTTTTCTTTCTCTGTGGATATGGTGACTTTTGCCTTAGGAAGTAAGAGTGGGGCATATACTGTACTAAAAATAAGGCGTTAAATATGAACAAAATTCTTTCCGAGACAAGCACTCAGTCACTCGTATACAATTTTTATTTTCTGCCTTCCCAACGAGCTCTGCTTTCACTACCTGTGATGCTGCCTGATGACGGGGTGGTAGTGGCCAAGTAGGCAAAAGGTTTCTTAGTTGTTAGGTACAGCAGAGCAATACTTTGTAGTCTACTTGATTTCAAATATTGCTTGGAAGAAGTTTTGAGCATAGAGATAATGCACTATGGAACGTCATTCAGAGCTGGACTAAGAATTCTCCAGTCTCTCTCTTCCTCCTGAGATGGCCTGGCAGAGGCCATATCAGGAGATGGAAAGTACCAAGGGCACAGGCTGGAGTTCAGAATTTGTCCACCTCATGAGGGGGGTGGAACACAGCGTGATTTGTTGGATTCACTGTAGATACATTAAGTAATTTTTTCTCTTTATTATACCTCTTTACAGTTTGAAATTGTGTGCTCCCAGTGGGAAATGTGCACCGCAGGAGCCCATCATATCAATAGTGGCCTTAGAGTGCCATTTCAATAAGCTGAGGGGAAGGTACTGATAAGGGCCAGCCCAGAATAACTGAATGAATTTATAAGCACTGAAGATTAGATAACATGACATGAAATGCTAATTAATGAATAGTCTAAATTAACTAGGCTTTCAAGTAGTTTTCAAAGTCACTATCAAGGCACTGTAATTCACACCTTGCAAAACTAATTACTCTATTTGCCAGTGTATGAGGATTTTGTGGATTTTTTTTTTAATATTTTATCAAACATTTATTTAAAGTGATGTTCAAGTGGTGTAGTAAGGAAAACATGTGATTTTTGTGCATGTTAATACAAAATGAACTGTACTCAATTGATAATGGACTAAATACACACACACACAGGCAAATACAGTAAATGTTTCTTTCTGTTTATAGGAAGATGTACTGTACAATCATTTTATGAAAGTTTCTGAACTTTGTTCATTCTTCACAGTTTTCAAACATTAAATCACAAACACTGACCTTAATAACTCTCTTATTCTTGTTCTGAGCTCTCTTTCTCGCACCATGGAAGAAATTAGATTGTTATGTTCACTAGCAGTTTGAAATTGACTGGCTGCTCGTAATTTTTCTGCTACAGCATCTCTGCAAAAGAAACAATATATACAAGCTTTAAATTACCGAGCTTTAACGTAATATCTCGCTTATCCTATATGATTGGTTTCATTCAGTCTCCCTGGGTGCATCCTACTTTCCAATAGATTTGTTTTCACTATTTTTTACCACTTTTTGTTAACAATAGAACACATTTGCATACACACACACAGTATTATATTTTTGTACTAAAATAGTATGGAAAGTACATTTTTAACACTGCCAGCATTGCAATTACCAGCAAGTGCCCAACCAGCACTCTCCCAGCTAAACGAGACACGAGTGACAAGCAACATGGTAAATGTAAATGCTTAAAATAACCATGTGCAGTTTATCATTTTATATTTCTAGCTTTTACATCAAAATATTTTGAAACTGTTGCCTTGTCACATGGTCCAGTATATCAAGTATAACGATTGAATAAAAATTAATGCTATTATGATATTGATAGCATGGAAAGACAAGTTGTTTAATGAAAATGATTGAAAATAATAATTATAATATTAGGTACATGAATGTTTTAGGAAAGTTTTTATTTACCCCAAAAAATTTGTGTTTCTATAAATATTTGCTAATATTCTCTAAATTAAAATGTATTGAATTCTTTTGCTTCACTCTCATTCTCCTTACAAGCATTGTCTTACCTGTCATCTTTACTTTTCTTTTTGGGTGGAACTTGTGCTTTTTCTTTCTCCTTTTTGAAGAACTGTGGAACAATCTGGAAATCTCGAACAACACGCTTTCTTCTAGATCGCTCACGTAGTCGTCGCATATACATATCCACCTATGAAACAGTTGTATAGATGAGTCATTAAAAACCCCACCTTTAGCAATACTAAAATTTATGAACAGTATAATTGAAGCAAGATAAGGTTTCAGTGGAACCAGAACAATATAATGTAGATAAAGTTTATTACTGGATGGAGATTACTTTATCTGTGGATCCAAATGAAGAAAAACAATAATGATATTAAATCAATTTAGAACCCATGCAAGAACACAAGCGAGAAAGTTCTCGAGTTGTTTGAGACAAAGAATGACAAGGAACAATGATAAAAAAAATATAATGTAAAAGTTGATTCTAATAATCAAACCCTATCCAGGTAAAAAACAGGCAGATCCAAATTGTTTTTTTTTATACTGACTAATATTGAACCAGATAGGCTGAACAAATATTTATCCCTTAAATAAAGTTTAATTATGTAAGTACTGTAACTGAATACATCTTCTAATTGCATACAGCAGTGATCCCGGCACCAAAACAACAACAAAGCATTCACAACAAAATTATCATCACAGCATATCAAGTTTGTGGTGCTTTCTTGAATTGGATGCTCATTTTCTTCACATGTACATTGTATTTACTCTGGTACACAAGGGTTAGTTTTATCACTCTCAACTACCATTGATATTAAGCCTGAAAGAAAGACATCTTAAGAACTGCATGGAAACATAAGGTCCCAAGATAACAATTAAAAAAAAAAATGAACATCACTAAAACCATAACAAAAAAATTATTATTCCATCATTCTAAAGCCATATTAAAATCAACGACCAAAAGTGGAAGATTACTAGGGGGGGGGGGTTAAAAAAAAAGGCCTTGTAGTACAAATTAGAGAGGGAGTTGAAGTTCAAGCAACTACTCAGGAACTATTACCTTGACTATGCCCAGTTAATTTACTAACCATTAAGACCTCTCCACCTGCAACTATTCTAACACTAGTTGATAAATATACTAGCACACATACCAAGGTCTATATTCCAAAAAAAACTGAAATAAACAAAGATTTAAAAAATGTAAACATACCTGGGCAAGTTTAAGAGCCATATCAATGTCTTCATCATCGACAGGATGAATAAAAAGTGGCGCTATTGTCGCTTCTGCATCATTGTCCCATTCCTGTAAGGAAAAATACAGTTATACAAAACAAAATAAATGAGAAATAAAGGCAGCGATGAACAACCTTTATTATTATAAATAATTTAGCATATACAGTACTTAATGGAGGAGAGTGTAGAAGGGAAAAATTTCCTATAATGCTAATAATTTAGTCGCTAAGATATAACATTTACTAAATGTAGCTCAGTTGCATAAGGACAAATGAGAAATGTAATCCTGGACCAACATATCTCATGATCCAAACTGAAGTGCTTACCTATCAGTAACTATGGAGATGCGAGATCTAGCTCTAAATATGCCGTCTCCTATCGTTTATACCTGGCGCACTAATTGCCTCTCTCTCTCAACATTAACATTTACATCATATTCCTTTTTAAAGTTGTAGATAGAATTGGCTTCAACAACCTCTTCTTTCAATGCATTCCACTTGCTGACCACTCATACAGGGAATGAGAACTTCCTTACATCTCTTTGGCTTCCATGGAAGTTGGTCATGCATTGATGTCCCCTGGCCCTACCTCTTTAAATTTAAATAGGCTTCCTTTATTCACTTTATTCCCCTCAAGATCTTATGCAGAGTTATCATATCCCCAGTTTATTCTCCTTTAAGGTTGTGAGGATGAATTTTCTCAACTGGTCCTAACAGCTTTCTGGCTTTTCAATTCTGGGACAAATTTAGCTGCAAACCTCCGAACTTTCTCACGTTTCTGTTTATGCTTCACAAGGTACTTATAGGTTCCATGCTGGAACTGCATACTCAATGGTCTCACATAGGCAGTGTGTATGGACTTGAAAGTCTCCTTATTTAGTTTCTTAAATGACATTACTATCTTTGCTAACTTCACTTAAGTTGGGTGTTACAGGGGAAAGAGGAATGAGGAAGGGAAGGAGGAGGAAAGGGGGGGGGAGGAGGGAGGGGAAAGGGAAGTGGTGATGGCAGTAAGAAAGCTTTGGGCAACCAAGTGGAATAAAATAGTCCTGAGAAACTCAAATTTCATATTCTAATAATTTTATATAATGGAAGAGGCTGTTGTGATCATGTATACTATTGTATACATTTCTAAAAAATAATACAATAAAAATAATAAAAATATGGATATAATTAATCCAATAGCTGCTACAATACTTTGCCCGAGACAAACAAATTTAGCTTATTAAATTAAAAAAAAATTTCAATGTCAAATATATTTGGCTTCTAACACAATCACTCAACCTGATACAGAAAATGGGAACAAACCCTCTCAAAATCATCTCTGTGAGGCATGTATCCCAAGATAGTATTTTCTTCCAGACACAGCGGTTGTGAAGGTAAAGACGAGGCTAGAGTGGGTGATAATGGCCCTGTGTCAGCAGATGTGTGTTCTATTGGCAACTGCAACCTCTCCAGAGCTGGTTTCCATGAAGCTCGTCCAATGTTGCCATCTATGTAACTGCTGATATATTTATTTCTTGCATCTGTGAATTAAAAATTATCATTATTATTCGAACAGTGTCGGCAAAACTCGTGCGATTTGTATTATATGTTTGTACACTCTAGAAAAAATACTCCCGTTTCCAAAAGTAAAATACAGTGCAAACAATAAAGTATTGAAGCAACATGTAAAAATCTATGTGGAAATAAGGAGTAATAGGTGAGTAGTGACAACATAAAAAACCTAATGGTCAATACCAAGTTACTAGTATTTGGCAAGATCAATTACTGTCCCAAGCCCCTAGTATTGCTACAGATTATATCTAAACATATCAGGGAACAAAACCATAGGACTCTCTCCAGCCTCCACTTCATCTGGTTTACAATACTGCTGGTAGAAATGGATTGTTCAATCACCATGCACTAAGTAATGTTGATGGAAATTTAGAAAAAAAAAATATAAATGCTATATTAAATTTTATTGCAACAGCAAACTACTAACTCTGCTTGCATGCTTGCTGCTGTTGCTGCTACTCACTCTTGCTTGCTGGCTTGCTACTGTACTCCTGCTTTTGCTTACTACTACTCCATACTACCAACTGGTGACGGCCAAGATGGTGGAAGTTTAACATACTAATCAATAATTAGGAGTGATAATTGGCAGTACAGTACTTATTACACCAATACTCATTCACAAAAGGAATCGAGCCATTTATTTTAGTTGCTTTGTCTAACACCGGTTGCTCACCAATCTTCCTTCTCCAACTATTTGGTAAGACCATTTGGAAATTTTCTTGCCACACTAGACAAAAGCTAACTAGAGCCTGTTGTGTGAGCAATGTTGTGAATGCATCCTGGCTTTGGGAGCAATCAAGGCACTACTCAGAAAGCAGCATTTCATACCACTTTAAACTTTTCCCCACATAGAGCAAGAGCCGGATTTTTGTATTCACTGATGATATTTTCTGTGGCCCATTGGAAGACTTAGTTTACGTAAGCTTGGAGTTTTGCTAGAATCTTTCCTAAAGAATGATATGGCAAAATAATTTGTCCTTGTCAGATACTGTATAAGAGAGTTCCGAGGCAAATGCAGCACCCTGGAGGACAGAACATTTCACTGAAGGTTACAGATTTTACTTTCTCTATAGTATCATATATTTTCTTCAAGTCCTATTTGAAGAACTTTAAAATCCATCTCCCTTCTCTTTAAGTTACAGCATGGACCCTTTTGTCCAGAATAATGCATGCTAGAGGATGTCTGCACAGGAAAATTCCAATTAGAAATGAGCATGTGACAAGTGGCAATGCTGGCAATGAGGGGAGTTTCAGGAATCCCTCCACACCAACACAAATACAACTTTTTCAAGGATTCTATTTAAGATGAAATAGTATAAATAAATTTGTTTGGTCCAGAGTAAATATAAACCTTTAATGACTGTCAGAGGCAGCAAGAAACCACTCCCTTATTCATTGTATGGTGCATATTTGCTACTATTCATAGCTCCTGGAATTACAAAACTGTGTACTTATTGAACTTTTTATTTTATGATAAAGTATGGATGGGTTGATAATGTACTCACCCAAATTGTGCTTGCTGGGGTTGAGCTTTGGCTCTTTGGTCCCGAACCATGTGTAAAAGAATGAAGAAGTGATTTGTTCGTCACCAGTGAGGAAATTTAACACAGCCCACAACTTGCCTCCTCAGCACACGTCAATAATTACACCCACCATATTTCCATGTTATTTATTTGGTTCTCACATTAATAAACATTCTATTACTACCAACTTTCTCTCTCTCTATTTGGAATGAAAAGCTATGATAGGTTTGTTTTCTGCTAGAGTTGAGGTAAACCTTATGTAATTGAATCATTTAGACTATTTTCAGTCATCGTAAAGTGTGTGTGAGCAACCTTTACAAATCCCCTCACTACATAGCCAGGCTCCTCACCACAGTTGAACATTATTGGGTGGATTGAGTTTTCTCAACTGTTATGTTTAATTTAATAATTGAAGTACTGTACTGTACTGTGCTGGAGTATATTACTCTACACTAGTGTAAGAGACTTCCTATCTTTTGATTAATACAGTGCATACTAATGTTGCCTGTATAACTTCATTACACCTATTAAGAGTAATACTGTATGGTTATCTTAGGTTAAAATAAATAATTTAAATTTTATCCACAACTTTTTATCTTCATTTATTTTACTTTCAATTATATTTAAAATGTATTGTTTATAAAATACTTATAGTATGCCAGTAGTAGTCCAAGCAAGGTTACACGTCTATAATATGTTAATTTCCAGGCATCAGTGAAAAAAAAAAACTGATGTCTTAATCAGGACAATTAGTGATAGAGTGATTAACACTCTAATATAATAGCTGGTTCTATATGATAAACAAAACCAAGAAGATGTGCTCAGTTACATCCAAGGCCACATCACAAAGTTGACAAACCAGCCAAAACTCTCCCCAACTTTCAGTAAAAAAAAATAAAAGTCAAGTTGGATTATGAGATGGTTTTTCTACTCAAGGGCTAAAAAGATTTCCAATAACTTGTCAAATGTTTTAAAAGCTATTATAGAAAGCTAAGATATACCATGAGAAAAAAAATGCAGGTTAGTTATCAGTGCTTAGGTCATTTCAAACAAATTGTGCACATCATCAATAGATGCACTAACTGTTTAGTACAACTAATATTAATAGAATTAAACATATCGAAGCACCTATAGTAAATCAATAGTAATTAACATTTTCTGAACTCCTGAACAAAAAGCAGCTCAAGAATTCTCTCTCAAGAACAAAGAGCAGCTCAAGAATTCTCTCTCAAGAACAAAGAGCAGCTCAAGAATGCCTGACAGTGCATGATCATTCGTTAGGTAGCAGCCGAATGTAATAACACTGAAGCCTAGTACTTATCCCAGGCCAAAACCTGTGTTGATTGAGATCTTTTGCACTATTTCTCTTTACAATTCTACTTTCATGCAAATATCTAATATATGAACAGATATAGCTGGCCTTTAATCTCATTTGCTATTTTCAGGACTTTAGACACTTTCCTAATGCTGTTAACCTTTTGAGACTATAATTAGTGTAACTTAAAATTGTGTAATGCGCATGTGATGGCTCAAGATTTTACGCCTAGATGCGCAAATGTGATGCTCAAAATAAATGCTGTAACTTCCTAAAATGTGGATAAAAAAGACAACACAAGAGCTTACCTTCAGGCGTTCTTGTCTCAATGTGACGAGCGATATCTTCCCAGTTCCCATATCCATACTGTTCTATTGCATCCAATAATCTGACTTCTTCTCGTGCAGTCCAATGGCCTTGACCAGGGAAAATGCTAAAGTTTCCTGTATCCTGGAAAACACCGGCCTGTGAGAGTGCGGGCCCAGAGAGAGACAGTGACCCGTTAGTGAGGGGGGTGGAGGTAGGCAGAGTGCACAAGCAGGGGCAATACTCAACTATTGTAAACTGAGAAAAATAAGGCTTGTTTCCTACACCTAATCATGAGCCATTCACCTCTCTTTCATTCTTGTAATCTTCCTTGTATGTGCACTGATCTCTATGTACAAAAATCACCTTATCATCATCATTTTAATTAAGGGAAAACAAAAGTTAACATGAACAAAAAGTAATTACAGAATTAATATATAATAAACCTTGGTATATTCATATATCTCCCCACTTGAGCACACACACTGCAAGATGTCTGTATGTAATAATCCACTCAACGATTACCCAACATTTTACACATTGCAAAATGTTATGGAATTAATAGATATTTAATTATGCTGAATGTTTTCATATGACATACTACACCGCATGTAATAAATACTTAGACTAAGTAACCAAACAGTAAAATAAGGTGCAATACATTAACTGTCCATCACTTATATCTCAATTTCTTATTAAGACACATCAGATAACTTTAATCAATTTTATTTAAAGCTTTTAGTTTTTCATGAAGGTATAAGAATTCAGCCGGATTGTACATACTGTATATGGATTCATTTTAAACAAACCATTAAGCAAGCAAAGCTTCATAACAATCAGAAATTTGTATTAAAAATCTGTTATGTTAGTCATTTTGTAATACAGTAATCCTCTATGAATCTATTAAAATACTATACAGATACAGAAAAATAGTCTAATTTGATCTGTGAATGATACCAATGACAACAGTCAAAACTGCATATACTAATACAAAATGAATCAACTTTTAATATATAAATATGAACAGATGAGAGTTAAGGCAGTTATGTAAATCTTGAATGTCACAAATTCACTTCATAAGAAAATAAACAGATCAAGTATTATTAGATATTTCAGATTATCTCAAGGTTGTTTCTCCCATTATTACATTTATACAACTTTATTACTGTACTTCATATTCTACAATAGAGATAACAATTAAGTAAGGGAGATATATGAACATTCTGATGGGTTCCGGCAGAATTTGTATACAAATTTGTAATGTATACGACAAAGAGATATATTCATATAATACTGTACTCTGTTACAAATCTTTGACGTCTTGCAACTCCGTCGCCTTACTTGTCGTGGAATTTATTTTAAATAATACTAAATTTACATAATAAATGACAGCAAAGACTACAGCATAGACAAGCTTAAGGCTTAGTCTGTAATATAATACCTTAACCACTGCACCTTCATTTTCTGCAAACTTCTAAACTTATGCATTATCCTTGAAGTAACTCACAAAACTGTACTCAGAAATTGCCAAAAAGCTGTGAATATGGACAAATATACTTGATTGTACAAAATGAAAAACTATTTTAACAGCTATATCTGTTTCTTGCCTTGCAAAACACACACAGCTCACACACTCCTGCAGTGTCAAGGGTACTTAAATACTTAAATATATCCCTGTATACAGAGGAGCAATGGTATTAAATTAACGACTATTGAATTGTAATACTGTACCAGATATGCTCATATTTCACAAATTGACATTAATAGCACGCTTTATAACTACAGTAATCATTTATCATACACCTTTATCACTACTAGAAGGCGAATACGCTCAGCTTCTTAAACGCCCAAGCTCTGTTTGCCTGAAACCTACCAAGGATCTATAAGTACTGTATTCGAGAACCATTCCGTAAAGTTATTGACCCTCGGACTAACAATGGGAGAACATCTCGTATCTCTCCTTCACCCTATACCTCTGCTCCTGGAACGCCTGCTACAACGTCGACCGACCTCTCAGCTTGCAGCGTCCCACGCCTTTCTACCATCACCAACTCTGCCTCTACAGGGACTGCTGCAGCTACGTCACCTGACCTCTCGTCCTGCAGCGTCCCACGTCTGGCTTTAGTCACCTATTCAGGTAATAAAATATTATTCTGTTACAGTGAGCCTTATTCATCCCATTATTAGGCATGTTATCCCCAGACCCTAAAGCGGTGAATCCGGAGTCGAAATTTAGCCGGCCTTCCTCGACAACCATAACATCCAACTTCGGAACCTTAGTTCCCACTCACTTTCAACACAATTACTTCCAGAAATTTGTCATGCTCAAGGCCCTTCTTAAACAGAACATTATCTCAAATACTTCTCATTACCCTCACCACCTTCAGGCACTGCAATCACACATACTGACACACTGTCTTTCCATCAGTATAGCTACTCCAACATTTCAGTTCCATCACTATCACCTTCACCTATTATCAGTACTGTATTGTACTTTTATAATCAGAATCAAGCCTCATGCAATTGCCCTTTACTGGCACCATGTCAAACCACAAAATTTATCCTTTTGTTTCATCCTCTATAACGTCAGGTACTGACCTCACTTCATTCGTTAAACTTCGACTAACCGCCTTACCCTCAGCCACCTCTTAGCACAGTGCAATGCTAATCTGCATACAAGATGCATGACTTGCAACAGCAATAAACAATATTTTCATGGTAGCTCACACACTGCAGTATCCCTTGGATTACAGACCTTGACTATAGCATACTGTTCAGCATGTGGAATGTAATGCATAAAGACTTCCTTCACCTATGCCTCTGCCGTATTTCTCTCCTCAAGTTACTTCTCCCAGTTCATCCAATGCAGATGCCACCTAATCTAATCTGCCCTCAGCAATGCTACCCGAGACAATGGGTCACAAGCAGGCAACCAGGCCCTTTCACTTATTTTTCTTTCAAGGCATCTTTCTCAGATCCCTTATCTCTGCCACCAGCTACTCCAGTCTTACTACTAGAGCAATAACCGTCAACTCCAGTTTTCCTTACGATACCAGACACGACAGTGATTGCAACTTCACCACAGTGGAATATACAACATGCACTAAAAGCATTATCTACCAACTCAATCATTCCCTCTAACAATTAGAACTGAGTGTTCTAGCTGGTGTTTGCAACACCCGCCACCCTTAATACTGGGGCAAGGAGTACTCCTACAAGGAGGCAATTATACTCAGCCTCTCCAAAACCTAAACTTTTTCTACACAGGACCTATCAAGGACTTTTAAATACCTGTGAAACTTTCATGTTAGAAAATGAACCTTGAACTAACACTGGGAGAACATTTTTTACTCCTTCACCGTCTACCTCCACTCTTGAGAGTCCTGCTACAAAGTTGACAGACCTCTTGGTTTTGCAACATCCCATGTCTTTCTACCATCAACAACTCTGCCTCTACTGGAACTGCTCCAGCTACATTTTAACATCTGGCTCTAGTTACCTATTCAAATAAAACATTATCCTACTCTAATGCACTTTTTTCACCCCTTTATTAGGCATGTCAACAAAGATCCTAAAGCCTTACCTTCTATTCTTAGCTGTTAAACTAAAAATACAATTTCTTTTTACACCCAGTAGCAAAGATGATTAATTTCTCTTGTGGAATTCCCACATACAGTACATATATGTTTAAACATTATACAGAATGGGTTTCCCTTGTTTGTCTATCCCAATAAAATCAACTAATGATATTTGTTTCTTCTGCAGCATATACTTTGGACAACTTTCACTTTATACATGATCCTATTATAGTATTCTTACACAGTTGATATTATAATAATTTAAGATGCTTCTATCAAATGGGAGAAGCACACGAGTGATAGTCTAAGACTGTCAACTTCAACCAAGTAAAAAAATATGGAGCATCAAGTGACCTGAAATGCTCTTTCCTGAGCAGGCACTCAAGGTGCCCCATCTTCCTTATATTTTGTCAAAGTTTTGAAATTTTAAATTATAACAACACTAATGAACAAATCCACAAGGACCATGATGAGGGTTCGAACCTACGTCTGGGATGAGTCCAGACGCGCCTTAGTCGATTGCGCCACGACATGGTTAAAAGAATTGCAACTGGGAGTGCTAGTGCCCTCACACAGATCCCGCAGCCTCTCCAAGACTGGAATCTGGGATCATCCTGGACGTAGGTTCAAACCCTCATCATGACCCTTGTGGATTTGTTCATTTGATGTTATCACACTATTGTGATTTCTGTCTATATAACAATACTATCTTGTAAATTATTCTATCAGACACTAGTTACAAAATATAATTTTGATGTGTTTGTGGCATCTATGACTTAACAATTTGTACCCGTGGCCACTTGTTTTTGATGATGTTGGTACAGGATATTTAGAATTTCTCTAAATGTTATGCATTCCCATCATAATTTATGTGATATCAACCTTTATTCTTCTATCTTCCAATTTTGACACATTTAGTGCCCTCAAACTTCATATTTTTTTATTAGATAGATACAGGAGCCATTTACTGGCATGTCTTATCCTTTTATATTTTGGTCATACTTTTTAAAAAGGTACAGGCACCAAATAACTGTTGCATTTCCAACAAAGGTCAGGAGTACGCCTGAAAAGAGTATACTGAACATTTCTCCATTCCTATAATTGAAGGCCATTCTAAAATTTAATTATATTACATAGGTCCCTTTAATTATGCTTTTGAGGCGATTCTCTGGTGTCAATTCACTGTAATACCCCTAAATCTTTACTGAGTTCTTTAGTGTCTTGTCACATAATTTCACCTGGTCTCAGTTATCTGAAACTATCACACAGCAGTTGTTCAAAAAATTAATTTATATTTTGTCTAGGACATTTCAAAATGAATGGCAGTTTTAAATCTTTTATCCTAGGTATGTTGGCATGATCTACAAACTACTTAACTATACATTTACAAACTACATTTAACTATACATTCCACCAAGTAGATCCTTTATATAATGAATGTTATTGATGTTGGTATCGAATCCTGAAGGACCCCTCTAGTGACAACTTTCCAGTCTTTAATTATGTGTTCAGTACACAACTGGCATCTTTCTACCTGTTATAAAACATTTCATTCATGCTAATAACTGAAGTAGTAGACAGGAAAACAACCCATGGTTTCATGTCCTCCTTCGCTGACGACTGCAAAATCAGTATGAAAATTGTCTCGGTGGAAGACATTAAAGTTTGTTTAATCAGATATCAAGTCTTCTCCAATGCCCATTAGAAAATAATATAAAGCTTAACAGTGACAAATTCCAATTACATCAATACAAAAAATTAACACCTCAAAAGGATACAGAGTACAGGATACAAGAGTGTTAAATCACCTCATAGAATGGAGCAAGTAAAACATCTAGGAATAATAACGTCAAATTACATAATTTACAGAGCAGAGTAACCCAAAGAAGACATCGACCAGGAGACTAATATGCGAATTATGAGAACATTTAAAATAAGACATGCCACACCAATGATGGTACAGTACTATTCAAAACAGATACGTACTATCTCAGTACAATTACTCCAGACAGGGGATATATACAAGGTAGAAATATGAACTCATATAATCAGTTAAGCTTTTATACTCAAATTGTACTCGTTGAAATGTATATTATGTGAGCTCATCTCCATGAGAAAAAATGCTGGAAAGTCAAGTTCAAAACCTGAACAGTAGATTTACAACAAACGTGTGTGAGACATGGAAAGAAAGTCTAAATATGAAGAGTAAGGATGACATGAGCACAACTAGAAAGGGCAGTGTGAACATCTAAGTTCACAATTCTTTTACTTCCTAGCAGCAAATATAAGAAATACAAGAACAAAAGTAAAAGCTTCCGAAAGGGAACTTGACAAGACTTTTTCTGCAGTTACTGGATTTTCCTAGTCATAATTACTCGCCAAACACACGACGAAACTATGATGCTGTTGCAATGTTCAAACAAGTTGTAACAACTTTCTAACATGTCATAAAAACTTTATAACGAGGTACTGTACCAATAGGAACCGTTACGTTGTGTGTTTGCAAGGTACCAAAGTGTAATTACTCAAACATCAAAGGCCCAAGACTTTTCAACACACTTTCCCTACACGTACAGGGCATAACTGGCCAACCTCTCGCAGTGTTCAAAATGGAACTCGACAAGCACCTTCAGAGGATATTCAAAATGGAACTCGACAAGCACCTTCAAAGGATACCCGATTAACCAGGCTGTGACTCATACGTCAGGCTGCGAGCAGCCATATTGAACAGCCTGGTTGATCAAACCAGCATTCAAGAGTCCTGGACAGAGACTGGGCCACAGGTCTCGCGTGAGCGAGAGAGAATTTTCTGCGTCAGCCAGAAAAATGATAGGATGGATTAAGAGAATGTTCAAATCCAGGAATCCCATCACAATGGTTGTACAATACTATTCAAATCACTTGTACTGTACCATCTTGAGTACTGCTCAGTACTCACTTTCCCCTCCGGAGCAGGAGAGATTACTGAAATAGAGGGAGTACAGAGTACATATATGGCATACATAGAAACGATAAAGTACCAAAATTATTGGAATCATCTCAAAGCTCTCCAAATGTACTCACTAGAAAGGAGATGAGAGATATATCAAATAATGTACATATGGAAAATACTGTAGGGGCCACGCCCCAAATCTACACAATAAAATAACATACTGGAGTGGACAATTTGAAAGAAAATGCAGAATAGAACTAGTGAAGAGCAGGGGTGCCATAGGCACAATCAGAGAACACTGTATAAACATGAGGTCCACAGTTGTTCAACATCCTCCCAGCGAGTATAAAAAATATTGCTGAAACAACCGAGGACATCTTCAAAAGAAAACTATATAGTTTTCGTCAAGAACTTCCAGACCAACCGGGCAGTGGTGGGCCTGTGGGCCGCTCCAAACAACAGCCTGTTGGACCAAGCTCTCAAGTCAAGGCTAGCCTTGGGTCAGGCTTGGGGAGTAGAACAACTCCCAGAACCCCATCAAGCAGGTATCAAGCAGGTAACAGGGATACTGATCATCGAAATCAACAACAGGTTCCTTAGTTTGAACCTATGAAGAACA